CATGCCTGGAGTATTTTTAACAGTTTGGGTTTGCGGCTTGAGTTTGGGGTTTAGGGTTAGTGCTTAGGGCTGAGGAGCATTTTACAGGCAATGTTACAGGTCGAACTAACCAAGGGTGATACGCAAGTTTTGCTAAGGGAGCGCCTTGTCTATCCTGAAGAGGACCTCTGATGATCTCCTTCTATCCCCATCAATCCCAGTAGTTAAGTAAGGTATTCTGGGGTTTAGGATTTAGGGCTTAGGGTTTAGGGTTTAGGGCATTCTGAACATGTCAACGTTTTCAGACCCTGCCCTATAGCCCGAAGTAACTACTATTCAATAGCTTTAGGACGCAAGGTCGGTGCTATTCTTACCTTACACTAAGGGTCCAAGGGGTTTTAGGGCCCAGATACCATGAATATTATAGTATTTGGGCCCTTAACCCCTATGATTTGGGTCCTTGGACCCTTAGGGTCAACCCCTGTAGAGCTCCTGAGCTGACTGGCTGACCAGCTTTAGAATTCATTCTCGCAATCTCAATTTAGTAGGATTTTATTCGGGGATACTATGGTACCCAATATAAAGTAAGATTATGTCCTCCCTTTGGGGCTTAGTATTTTGCATAAGGAATATTATCTTACTGGGTTTAAGCACCAAAAAAAGCTACTCAATTATCCAAGTGGTGAGTACTTCGACCCATCCTTTTGGTTTGGAGCCTGCCTAGAGTAACCCATGTCCTTATAAAAAGGGCTCTATACCTAATATTTTGGGATCAGAGTCTATGTTACTCTAGTCCGGTACAGGAAGCCCTCAAACCTCTACCTTTGGACGCTGCCCTCACCGTATGAGTGCACATTTGTCACGCGTAATTAATTACGTAATTACATCATACGCTTAGCGAAGACAAGCACTAGCAGTTCCTAACGTCCTGTTACATGTTTAGAGATCAGGGTCTAGGGTGCAAACCAATTTTTGCCGAAGCCCTTTCACCCCCACATATACATTTCTTGGGGGTCCGGACCCTTTCCCAGAAAACCGCTGAAGCACCAAAGCAACGGCAAAAGGCATGAAGCATTTATTTCATTCGAGGACCGTCCGAAACCATCTAGAACCCCAAAGGCATACAGGCTTGATTTTTGTCTGTAATCAAAGGTAAGCCTTGAATCCTCAGACCACCAAGGCAGGACCCCCAGTTACATAACTACACATACTAGGTAGGCCAGTAGTACCCTTTTCCCCTTTTTCTTTCCTTACCCTAAACCCTAAAGCCTAAACCCTAAACCCTAAACCCTATCAACGGGTTACTGGGCAACCTAGCCAATATGTCCTGCGGCTCTTTTCAGGACTTATGCCCTATTCGTAGCTAGGGGCCCATCCTTGTAAGACCCTAAACCCTAGACCTTAGGTGGACCCCCCCACCCAGTAATAGTAACTATAAGGGATAATAAGCATTATATCAGGGTCCTCTTATCTTCCTATTTTACCACTATGAGAGGTGGGGGGTCCTCCTAACTTAGACCCTAGATCCTGAAAGCCCTATATCCCAAGATCTTTAAGGGGAAGTTCTCCTACGGCGTTCTTGATGCCGATGGCAAGCCAGAGAGGAACTGCGCCTTGCCATTGCTAGATCCTAGGGTTTAGGGCTTAGGGTTGAATTGGGTTTAGGGTTCAATTGGGTTTGGGATTCAGGGTTTAAGGTTTAGAGTTTAATTAATTTGGTTTGGGGGTTTAGGGTCTAGGGTTTGACTGGGTTTTGGGATTAGGGTTTAGGGCGGCCTTCAGAATCCCCCCACCTGATAAGAAGCCTCTGCACCCCCGTTATCATAGTTTTCTCCCGACTGCAAACTGCCTAAACTTGGATCCTATGGGTCTTCAGCCCAGCACCAAACACCCCAAACTCCTGGGTTGCTGTTAAGGAACTTAGATTAAGCTACTAAAACAAGCAAAGTCTATCACTTACTTTTTTCCCCATTCTCTGGTAACAGCAACCTAGACTCTAAGCTCTGACATCGCCAACTTCCTGAAATCGGTTTAAGGTTCACGTTGCTTACTGTCCCACCCGGTAACAGTCTGTGATAGCAGTATTATTCCCGGCTATATACCAAAACATCTTTTAGTGAATATCCAACTGTGACTGGGTGGGGGGCAGTGCCTAGGGTCCGAGGGTGATTTTGATATGAGCCTTAAATGTAAACTCTTGCAAAGGGGTTATATAGGGGATTATGTAGTAAGGGGGATACCAGGAGTTCAGACTATGGCTCATGTTGGGCAAAAGCTCCGCAACCTCATCCGACATCATCCCAATTCGGTGGGCTTCATCCAGTACGTGTTGGGTTTAGGGTTTAGGGTTCAGGTTACATGTCTCAAGCATGGATGGCTTTGTTTTGGGGTTTCCAGAAAGTAGAGATCCCTGTTTTGGGGGGTTTCAGTTTTGTGGTATTTCGTTGTATCTAGGGAGCTTCCCCTATGTTTAGACAGTCCCATTTCTTGTTGTGGAATCGTTGCCTTCTTGCCAGTCGTGCACACACAAACAGAAGTCCAAAAAAGAGCAGAACGTGGTATCTTCTGTTGCAGTCCCTTTGTTGGCGCTAAGCCTGAACCCTTGATGCCCAAACTTCAGACCCTGAAGCTCAAATAGCATACCCAGGACCTAGAGACTGGGGGGTTTCCATGACTCGGGGAGCCCAAACACAGGACTCACCATGCTATAGCCGTCAAAATAGGGCCTCCCTAAACTGGACCCCAGGCCCCCGTGCTACACACCCAGGCACACCTGCCGCTTTCTGGGCTTACAGAATCCCTGTGCTACACCCGCCCCCCCAGATGGGCGTATAGAACCGCTGTTCTATAACCCGTGTAGTGGAAGCTCCCTAAACCCTACTCACCTTCAACCCGTGTAGTGGAAGCTCCCTAAACCCTACTCACCTTCCATAAAAACCGGAGCCCGAAACTCTGCGCCCTCGACCCGGAAAGAGGCAGCGGCACTATGGGCGGAGGAAAATCTGCTCTTTGCACTGCAGCTGGCAAATTTTCAACGAGGGGCTCCCTAGTTACGTACCTATACCTACAAGTCCCATAACCACTACTTGTATTACGTATAACCATACTTATCCCCGTTATAACCCAACCTATAACTGCGGGGCCCTCCTCGCAGAGTTCATAGCTTAGGTCCAAGGACCCAAATAATAGGGTTTCAGGGCCTCAGGGCCTTAATACCATTAATATTATAGCATTTGGACCCTAAAGCCCTTTATTTGGGTCCTTGGACCCGTAGGGTTAGGGTTAAGGATTCCAGGGTTCGGGGTTTAGGCTTTTGCTTTGAGGGTCAACGTACCCCAAGATTTGAGGTGTTAGGTACCCTGCAGCCTGAATGCTTGGTTGCTTGGTCCTTAGGGTTGGGTTTAGGATGTAGGTTTAGGCGTTGTGGGCTTTGGATTCGGGGTTTGGAGTGGCCCACGCTTTCAGATTCCAATCTCTTCTTTTGAGGAGACATGAAGACTTCCCAGAATTAGGGCTACTATTTTGGGGTCCCAATAATGAGGGTTATAGTATATTATATGGGTCTCCCTAATTTTGGAAATATCGCATGCAGCAGCCGGAATACTTGCCATCATTTGACTCTTATAGCCTTTTATCCTGCGGTTAGATTGTCTGTGCCTAACCTCCTCCACACAACTAGTGCGAAGTAACTCACAAAGGGAATGTTGGTAAATGCAGCCCCTATAATAGGGACGCTCACATGATATCCACCGGATTCTTGTTTCAGGTCGGGGTAACCAAGCTCTGAGCATCCTAGCTACGCGTTAACGAAAACCCTTAACACTAAACCCTACACCCTTGAGAGCAAAATTGGGCGTTGGCTGAAAGGGCCTTACAGACCTTGTCTCGCAATCTGACAGATTAGCAACAAGCGTTTAAGGTTATGGGGCTACATGCTTCCATCTTTAAGTCTTTGCCACCCTTTTTTCACATGGCTGTAGCGCGATATACCCGCAAATCCTGTTTCAAATTCTTTTGGCTATAACATTTGGAAGTTTTAAGGCCCCAGCATCCTTTGAGATGCAACACCCCCATCACCCCAAAGCCCAAAGCTCTACCTCCTGGTCTAGGGTTTAGGAATACAGGTTTAAGGTTTAGGCACTTAAAATGGAGGCCTTGTGGAAATCTGTTTTTGGTGAGTAAGCGGCGTACCTAACAAAGAGAAGGCTTTGTCGCTGTCAGGTAGGATGCTGTCTATGTACAAGCTTGTTTTAGGTAGATCCTAAAGTCTAGACTCTGACTAGGTAGGCAATGTGCCCTAAACTCCCTGCTGAAAAAAGGGCAGGGTTACAAGGTCCTTGCCCTTGCCCCCAACCCCTAAATCCAAGACCCTCCCCCCTCAAACACTCGCTTAAGTCCTTCCGATAAGATGCAACTTCACCTGACTTCAGGTCATGATCCACGACTTGGGCATTACCGCGCCTCTGCTGTTCAGATCTTGGCAACGCTTGGATGATCCTAAATGCCGCGATTACAACTCAGCAAGTAATAAGGTATTCGAGTATACTAGGGTCACGAAGGATCTTCAGCATCAACCAGGGAGAGTTCTTCTACCTGAAACTATTTGTATTCCACTGCGGGTAGATACACTACAAGGAATATAGTTGCTTATAAGCAACGTGTTACTCCTAAGGGCCCCTGTAGTATAAACAGTTGGGCCCAGAAGCATCCCCCCATGGCGTATAAATGTGTAACAGGGCCACAGGTGTAACTAGGCCAGGGTTTAGGGTTTAGGGTCAGGAAGCTGCAAGGCCGCATTTGATTAAACAAAAACACTAAAGCTTAGATGCGCGTATGTGTACACATACATAAGCGCAGTGTAAACTCTAAACCCCCTAAACCCTAAACCCGAAACCGGGAACCCCAAGGCATCTTGGATATGCCTGTGTAGTGCTTTGGGCCTTAGGTCCCAAGCACTACAACGTGAATGGTTTTCGGCACCTGAAATCGATTTGGGTACCTTGACACCCTAAACTCTAAACCCTAAACTCTACACCCTAAACCCTCAGGATGAATGGCAGACCCTACACCTCCTCCGAGGCTTGGGTGTAGCTTAGGGTTTAGGGACCCGCAACCTTAAGCTATGACCTTGAACCACTTTCCCTTCACCAGCAGCCCTGTTAGCCTTGATTCCCGTAGGGTTTAGGGTTTAACGGGTTCAAAGGTTGGGGAAAAAACTAGCCTTCCGCGCTTATTTAAGCATAGTTAGGGATGACTAGATCCGATCATGGGGGAACCATCAGGGAAGTGAGCGGGGGGAAGTTTTCAAACCCATGATTGTAAAATTCGTGAAGCAGATGGCGATACAAATCCGAACCCTAGAAGCCTTGCTACCTACAGCGGAAGTCGGTGGGTTGTAGGTAAACGCACTAACAATGGAACTTTATAGGGGGGCTAGGGAGCAACAGCCTAGTCTAAATCCTAAATCCTGAACTCTAAGCCTTATGTCCTAAACCCTAAACAACCCTTCCACTAGGAGAGGTATGCGATCGTCATCGACGTTCCCGTGATGGTGGGCATTGAGCATTATGCTACGGACACTCAGGTTTTCCTAGCGAAGCACATGATTCGGGGCATCAGATAGGTGCACCCTCACCCTGTAATGGTGACTACAAGCGATGATGTTTTCTTTATTAGGGTTTTCTCATATTCCCATTTTACCACTATTACAGGGTGGGGTGGGGGTCCACCTAATTAGGGCATACAGTAAGGTATACCTAGAGTAACAAACCCAAGGGCTTTGTACCCAATATGTTGGCAT